GAGTAAAAATAAAAATGGGGTCGTTACTTATGAAACACCCTTTATATTTTTTGTTTATTAGTACAATAAAGAATAAACATTAATAAAAAAGGATAATATATTGATTTTTTTATTATTTTAATGAATCAAGCATACTCCAAACTTTCTTTCTCATATCGGGAGCAGTTTCGCCATAATAGTTATTAATCATAAATGAGAAAACAAACGAATTTTCTATGATATATCCAGCATAAGCAATAGTATTCAATAATGTTCCACTTTTCATTCGAATTCCATTTATAGTTGGAAAAGCTTCATAATAAACATCAAACCATGATTGGTTTTGTAACGTAAATAGAATTTGTGCTAAAACATATGTACTTAAACGATTACTACGTGATAGACCTGATCCATCTGTTATTGCTACAGCTTCTAACGATTTATTATTCTCAAGTAATATATTAATATATGATGGAAGAATTTTCAAAGGAGCATCAAATAATGAAGATTGTCCTGTTTCATGAGCAATTGTTTTAACAAATACTTCACCATACATATTAATACTAATACGAAGAAACTGTTCAAGTAGTTTTGATAATGGAGGTGATCGATGAATATCTAGTAAAGTTAGGTTTTCTTTTTCACTTGATTCAACTATTGCTTCTTGTTCTACTTGAATTCCATATGTTCGTAATGCTTGAGTTAATTCATCAGCAACATATAATGCTGAATCAGGTACAGCACAACGAAGGTTAAAATCCGGAGGCGCTTGAAGTGATACTGTACCACGTAGATAACCAACATTAGAACCATCAAGAGAAAAATAAAGAGATGCGTCATCATCTGATGATGCAGTAATTAATTCATTAAAGATTTTTAAATGTGGCGGTGGATTTTTTATTGCAATAATGCGAGCAGACGCATTTACAGATGAGCCTGGTTGAACTTCAATAGTGAACTCATTCTCTCGCCAATTTAATGCTGAATGACCAGTACCATACCATTGACTAAAATAAGTTATGAAATATAATGTAAGACGTATTCAAAATTCTTTCTATCAAATATAGTGTTGTATAGAAAATTATTCTTGAAAATATTTTGATTAAAACATACCCAATATCATTCCATGTCCATCCATCAATGAGAATCATCTTTTTATTTTTCCATCGACTAGTATCACCTATAATACCTCGACATTTTCGAATTCCAGTTTGTTTTATAGCTTCTATCCATTTTTTAATAATAGAATCTGCTGTTGTCGTTTCATCATATCGCCAACTGCCTAATGATGGATCTCCACTACCTATTATATATCAATGAAATGTTAGAGAACATAAAAACAAATTTCATCTCACCAACAATATAAATATATCCATCAAGAAAGCCTGTTACAGTATCTATCGTACCCGAATATTGTAACAAAGTTTCATAAGTATAATCTGAACCAAGATAATGCAAAGCAGCAGCTGCTGTGATTGTTTTAAGTGATGATGCTGGTGAAAGACCTAGATCTTTGGCATATTCAAAAAGTATTGAACCTGTTCGACTATCTAATATCGTCATTGAATATGCTGCATGAGCAACATGAGGATCTCGAATGAATTGTTGCCATGCATTAGAAAAGTTTCCTGATTAAGAAAAAAAAATCAAAGATATTTATTTACATAATTTTTAAACTATAAAATGACATACCAATACGATCCATGACAAAAAATGATGACAAACCAAATAAACGAAGAAATTGAATCTACGAATGAATAAATTTCATTTCAGATAAGAAACAAAAGGATTGATTCTCACCAGAGGATTCCACATTTTTTAATGCTTTCTTTTTACGTCAAAATATAAAGGTTACATTTTTTTGGCAAATATTTATGAGACCAAAGAAAAAATAACAAGGTGTACAGAAGGAGGCCAAAACAAATATCAATAATGATCAGAAAAAAAAACGAATCGAACATTCAATTGTAAATCAACATTCAAAATAAGAGACATCTATGTAATTATCGGTCTTGTTTCCTGTTGAATAGTTTTTGTCTTTTTAATTGAACTAATTTATCATATACTTCAAATTCAATTCACTTTGAATATTATTATTATCTTGATCATTTCATCGAATAATTTGTACTTGAAATGCACATAATTTCACAATTAATATTTTATGTTCACTTGAAATTTCAAATATGTACGTCGTGTATCTTATGCCGTGCTCTATTTCTTATTTTATAAATACTTCAATCTGTTCATTGTAATGGTGTTTTATTGACTGTTATTCACAGTTTGCTTCAATCTTCGATACATGTATATGTCGTACCGAAGTTATTTCAGATCAATTAAACACTAAATAATTATTCAATAATTGATGACATCATAATAAAAAATACATATTCATAGTTAATTTTGCATTGTAATAACGTAAATATAATTTTTTAAAAATAAGTAAATTATTGAAAGATTATTCAAGAACATTAAAAACTACACTTCGTTGATATTTTATATAATTATTGTTCAATCCATACTACATTAAATTCTATATTTAATGGAACATCTAAGGAATACCACAGCACCTCTTAACAAAAAAAAATGATGTATATAATCATGGCAGCTGCCAAAATTTATTTTTCGAAATCTTTCGAAACGTTACTGTGGATCTTGGTGTTCAATTTAATGTAAAATACTAAGACTAAGGGCGAGGATAAAATATCAACGAAGTATAGTTTTTAATATTCTTGAATAATCTTTCAATAATTTACTTATTTTTAAAAAATTATATTTACGTTATTAAAATGCAAAATTAACTATGAATATATATTTTTTATTATGATATCGTCAATTATTGAATAATTATTTAGTGATTAGTTGATCTGAAATAACCTCGACAGAATTTTGTGTCGAAGTTATAACTTCGGCACGACATAAACATGGTATTTTCAATAATAAGATTAAAAGGGTTCTTTGTCAAGACATGGCGGATCTAGACTAGTAGATTGAATCGAATGCGACACATAAAAATAACTAAAAAATTTTAATAATCTATAAAATTGATTAAAAATTAGACTTTCAGCATTAAACTTATTTATAAATCTTATTTTGACTTAATCGTTGAAGAATATTCTTTAAAAGTCTATCAATACATGAAATAATGTAACCGTAATTCTCGCCTATAATATTAGTTTGCTATATACATATTTATAAAAAAAAAAGATAAAATCATATTCAAACATGCTGGCTTACCTTGAGAAAAAAATCAACAGACACAAATATAATTAACATCAACAGAGAATCAAGCACATGATTACAAATGACACGCATATAAAATGTGTAGCTTGTTGTTTTTCTATTTACTTGTATGTAATAATCAATCAGTAGACAGAATGCATATTCCCTTTCTGATGCACGTACTATCAAATTCAGGTAGCATAAGTATCAATATAAGTGACCTAAAATATTGTATATAAAACGATTGAATGTAAATCAAATGAACTTCTTAGTTCTTCTATCAAAACGTAAACAAATATATATAACTTTATTCACTACAGCATATGAATAATTTCAATATCTACAGCTATCTATAGACAATGAGATTGCTTGTGTAATAATTACAGATGAATAACAAAAAAAGAATGGTTCATTTTGCTCGATATGAACCGAATTTTTACATTATGTTTGAACTAATTCTCTCGACAAAAAATCAGAGATGTTAGCTTTTGAATCGATAAAAATGCGTTGCAGTTTTTAGTCAATAACAATCTAACAAGAATATTAAAAAAAGTTCATGTATGATAGCATTAGTTCTTTGACGAGTTTTCAACATCCGTCTCTCATGTCGTCATCGTTTATATTTTTCTAACCTCATTGTTATTCAATGACTTCAGCAAAACTCTTCTTGTTTTAACATCATCCAGATTTGTCTGACATATCTAAAAAATAGATTTTCCATCGTATTCGACAATAAAATCTTATCTCACGTAAAAAGTTTATCTAATTCACCACCGTTGGCTCTGTCGCATGTACTAGAGTAGCACAAATCGATGACGGTGTTGCCGAACGTCACAACTGTATCATTCCGAGAATTCTTCATATATCTAGTTTTGAATTCAGACTACACAAAACACCGGTATATGGGAAAAACGTGTTTCTGCAAATGTTGAGTCGATTTTGACAAAGTCGATTGGTACGGCGTATTATGGAATATATCTTGAAAGTACCGTCCTTCAACATATTCTTCTTCGTTCCATCACAGTCACTAAGATTTGTGTTTCAACTGAGAATGGGTGACGTAATTACGTAGATGAAGTTAGCACAAGATTCGAGTAAATCCAACAAAGATTCGTCTAGAAGCATGTTCCAAGTACAACTCGACGAGCTCTCTCCAGTGGTATAATCAGATTTCGCATAGCTCATATTACGATCTTTAGAACTATAGATGGCGCTACAAAAAAAATCTGAAAACTATAGTTTGGTCTTTGGAAAATCTGATTATACCACTGGATAGAGCTCGTCAAGTTGTACTTGAAACAAGAAAAGAAACCTTGGAACGTGTTCCTAGACGGATTTTGACTAAATTTACTTGAATCTTGTGCTAACTTCACCTACGTTGCTTTCGACACAGTTTCAAGAAGTCAGTCTCTATGTCATAAAGTTTGGTCAAAATAACCTTTACTATATATCACGAGAAAGAGCCTAGTTCATTACACTCAAAAATTATCTCGTACGTATATTACGTTCGCCTAATGATCGGAAAAATTCAAGTTTTTCAGAAAAAAAAACTCTCTAGAAAGCTGACATATTGAAGAAGCTCAATGTTATTCGGGCATTCTTTTTAAATTATAAGTTTTGATTAAATGTTCGAATGTAATTTTGTAGAGAATCGAAAGGAAAATCTTTTGATACTAGCCACAAATGCCTACAATTAAAACAGACCGAAAACATTATTTATGTTTCACTCGTTATATCTAACTAAGATCTTTAATTTTTCAAACTACATAGAAATGCATTCATATCTGAAATCTTTTAGATATAATGACAAATTTTATTTTAAATGTTCACCAATGATGAAGATAGAAAAGATTGTAAAATAATTTGTACTAAATTTAAATCGTTTGAAACTAACATGAAGTGTTGATCACACAATTCGTAACGCAATTATTTAATGAACGCATAGAATTAGTCGATAGTGATGCTAATTTTGCTGATATACGAAGAACTAAAAATGTGTCGAGTGTATTGAACGAAAAAGTTTGCAGAAGAGTGTTTGATACATCATTATAATTGGAAAAAGAAAATACAGAGGAATGGATTAAATTTTCGAAACAATAATCATAAATGAAATACCTTATCAATTACAATTAGTCATAGAAAATAATGGAGCGCATGTTCAATATACATTAAGTTTTATTATAAGTTACATTTTTGAAAAAATAAAAAATTTTCTCTTGTAAAGTTTCTTTCCATCAATTATTTATAAAAATCAATTACGAAAATTCATGTATTCTAATCTTGTTCGTGCTTTTCAACACAAGTGTTAGCTAGAGAACTGAAACTTTGGAAAATTAAAGATCTTGATTAGATATATATGTGACGAAAAATTTCAGTCTTCCACGTCAAAGAAAAGTATAAAAAATTGTTAGCAATCTATTCTCAGTTATTATGGCACATCCTTGATTGATTGCTTTTTAAAAACCTTGTTCTTTTTTCCATTCTTTTATTCATTCTATGATAAACCTTTTTCATATTAATAATAAAATAAACAATACTTTTTTAACTGACAAATGTTCAAATATGTAACACAACAAGAAAAATGGAATTTAGAAATATCACCTAAAATCATAATTAGATAATAAACAAAAAAGAAAATTTCTTTCTTTGTTTGTTTTCATTGTCAAGTTGATTTTAATGGCCGACGAAAAAGTAAAACATGTGGCTCTAAAAATAAATGAACATATATGAGAATCAATTATGTTAATAGAATTTTTTATTTTATATGAATAAATGAAATAGAAAAGATTAAATTTTATTGCTGAGAAAGAAAAAGTAATTTTCTAAATTCAGATCTATCATTCGATGTTCTTAATAAAGTTGTTTTACTTAAAATATCTAAATGAAAAATAGAATTGTTTTTGTTGTTAATTCAATCATTACATTAATACAATAGATGAATGTATCTATGAATGAAATATTTAAAAAATTTTGTTGATTTATATTGTTTTCATAATGTAATATTGTTTGATAGAAATTAATACAACAAGATTTTAAATTAATTTTTTTAATGTTACATTTTTTTCTTGTTACTTAATTTATAATATGATCTAAAGAAAACAAGTTTATTACTTATGTCAGTGTTGATATAAATCAATGTCTCGTCAATCAATCTTATAGAAAATTCAATTAGGAATACTCATTTTCTCAATATATTATAGAATATTTATTATCTGTAACAATGTTTTCTAATCAAAACATCAAAACGATATAGTTTTTCATTACATTACATACATTTTTTATTTCCTATGGCCTTAATTAATGATTAATACAATATTTTAATTACTAACCTGGATTATGTAACATAAAATGTACCCATCCAGCTGACATTTGTAATCCTATAGAATAAAATCTTCAATATATATTTTTTTCATATTCAGATCCGGGTTGTCGATATTTTCTAGGGATGGGAGAAGCTAAAAATTTGGCAGAAAGTGCTAGAAGTGGTGACCGCGAAAGACTAGAATGGAATCCACCATGATCCAACCCAGTTTTTTATTCAAATTTTCCCTTTAGGAAGGGCAAACACTGATTTTTAAGGAGCTCAGACACATAGTACGTAGTGCAATAATCAAAAATCCCTGGATGACCGACCTGATCTTCGATGAGGAGGCTACGCTCTCATGCTGAATAAAACCCTCACCTGGTCATCCCTTCGCCAATCCTATTCATCTTGCAACAACAGTTTTCTGCATTTTTTTATTTTACTTTCTACCGGAGGAATGCAAATAATATTTCAAAACTCGATTTACGTCCAAAGTTACCACGAAGCTATGTAAAAAAATTGGCAGAAAGTCAGAGAATCTTGTCCCTCTTCTAATCGCGAATCCGGATTTAGATATCTTTAAAATTTTCTCACCTAAATTTCGCCATTCAGTTTCAGTTAATAAATGTGTTCGTGGTACTAATTGTGCTTGTTCAGGTGGTAAAATAACATGTCGATATTCATACATATCATCTTTATATGTTTCACTATAGAATATTTCTTTCACAGGCATATTTTGTTTTTTAATTATAAATTTTCTTACATAACAAAAACACTTAAATCTAAAGAAAAAATTTATTTTAAATTTAATTTTTTGTTTATTATTTTTTGTTTCTTCATAAAAAAAAAACCTGAACGCCAAAAAACATGCGCACTAAATTACAATATGAATAAGAACAAATGTGAAGACAAAAAAAAAGTAAATGAATGAACCTACTTCTTTACTTTTACACAAAAAAAAAACAATGGAAGCTCAATAATAAGACCAAAAAAGAAAAACGAGAGAGTATAAGCGAAACAATGCACTGTGACAAAAAAAAACAAGAGATTGTGTACATGAAAATTTTTGTTGTCTATTATAGCTTTTATTTGATTGTCATGTAAGCACGCATGAACAATATCGTTGTTTGAGATAAATATATATTTACAAAGAGATCATCAATGACTATTATGAGTATATAGCTTTTGTAAGGTTTTTTTTTAAAGAAAAACACATGATGATTTTGATACTTTATTTGTTTTAGGTGATAATACACTTCGAACAGCATCATCAAAAACCTATAAAATAATAAATTTAATGTAAAATATAGAAGAAAATAAAACAAACAAACCTGTTTAAGACCTTTTTGAGTTAATGCTGAACATTCAACATATTTAAAAGCACGAATTTTTTTACATAAACGTTGTCCTTGTTCACGTTTAATTGGCTGAAGATTTTGTTTTTGTAATTGATTAACAAAATCACGATCTTCACGTAAATCAATTTTTGTTCCTTAAATATATTATCAAAAAATAAAATCTTAATCAAATATTTACAAAAAAAAAATCTTTTTCATTTTACCACATAAAATAACTGGTGTATCAGGACAATGATGTCGAATTTCTGGCATCCATTTATTTGTTATATTTGTAAATGATGTTGGACTTATAACACTAAAACAAAGTACAAATACATCCGTTTGTGGATATGATAATGGTCGAAGTCTATCATAATCTTCTTGACCAGCTGTATCCCATAAACCTAATGAAACTTTAACATTATCAACAACAATATTTGATGTATAATTATCAAAACTAAAATAAATAAATAATAACTATTATTATTTTGAAAAGAAACTAAAAAAAAATCAAAATAACTTACACTGTTGGTACATATTCTTCAGGAAATGTATTACTTGTAAATGACATTAACATACAAGTTTTTCCAACAGTACCATCGCCAACAATTACCAATTTAATTGGAACACTTTGGTGAGGATTTAATTTATTTGCCATAGAGCATAAGTAATTAAACGTTTGTTTCTTTTTTTTTTTATCTTGGACAACAAAATGATAACATCTAAATATGTAATATGAACTCAATTACAAATAGAAGAATCAACAATGAAAATCGAGAACATCGGATAGTAGTAGTAACTGTATAATCACATTCTTGCTCTTATTTCTTTACTCGTTGATGCTAGTAGCGATCGATTCTCTTTTTTTTTCCTCTTTCTTCTTTTTCTTTTTGCTAATACTCGCAGGAAGAAGAAACGAATAGAACATTATGATGATCATCGTTTATAGCTAAAAAGAAAACTAGGGAAAAAAGCTGTATATACATTTATGTACTAGATGATGATGATGATGATTCTACTGTTCTATGTACTTTTGATTGACAAGTTTCGGCCATAAGAAAGGAAGGAAGGAAAAAAAAATTTGTATATATGAATATACATATAAATCGATTGATGTATAATAATACATTATGGTTCAAATTACATCCAATAAAATTTTAGAGTTCAAAATATATTGATTGGAAAAATAAAAATAAAAAAAAAATTTTGTTTTATAAAGAATAAAAAACAAATATTCGAAGAGGTTATGTTCTTTATTTTTTATTAGTTAGAAAAATGTCCAATCAAATTAATTTGAAATCATCTGAATTAAACCAATTGATAATAAATAAAGGCGCATATATAGATTTTGTTTTTGATTATGTATTCAATATTGAGACTTGGTATGTTCTACTTTGTTTTCTTTTTTATTTATTTTTATAATTAGAAGATTTTATAGTCTTGGAAATTTGTTTTAGTTTCTCGTCCATCGACAATATCATGTATTCGTCATTTAAAAATGAATACAAGAATGCCACGTTCACGACCAGATTTACTTCGATTTATAGAAGATATTACATTACCTGTACTTGAAAAACCATTACCAGATCCTGTTGAAGATTGTTATCGAGAACAAATAAAAAATAAAATTCTTCTTGATCAAGAAGATATTGAACTTGTATGAATATTATTTTCTATTTTAAATTATTTCTTCATATTGGATATTCTTTATATTGAAATTTGATCGAAATATGAGTGTTTCACAAACTTATACCCTTACATTAGTTTTCCTATGTTTCTATAAAAAAATGTTTAACCGAGAAAAATTTACATCTATTGTGAGACAAATTTATTTTTTGATTGATTCATTTTTATATTAACATCAAAACCATAGCAGGATTTCCTGTTCGGGAATGCACGAATTCTTCATTTTTCACACTGAAGATTCCTAATGCATAGTATATATAACCGCAAATTTTTCAAGTGAGACTTATTTAATTTGTCTCGATCTATCCGATGCTACTGTTATACTTAACAAAATATGATTAAATCTTCGAGTACCAGTGTCTTTATAAAGTACGATTTTTTTGTCAAGTTTCTTTATTTTTGAATAGCTTGCAAGAGTAGAAGAAGTGGAAAAAAAACACAAAATATATAAAATGACTTTGTGTCCGAGCGAGTGTGAAATCTTCTTGACAACTTTTTTATATGTGAATGTTTTTTCCCCTTTACATGATTATGATGGACAGTAACTACGAGAGATATGTTAACATTGACGATCCTTGTCTGTCTATGTATGTTGTAATAGTGAATGCTCCTTTTCAATGAATTTCTCAAACCACACAACTAGTTAATCCTTATACTTTGAGTGAATAATTTAAAAACATTTTCGAATTTCTGGTGCAGTGTTTTAGCGAAACTAATATCCGTCGGGTGAATTATGAGTTTATTTTTGGGAGAGAATAGCGCTATTTCAGTAACTATTAAGAGCTAACACTTTGAATTCCTATCGTGGATAGAACGAGAGTTAGAAGCTATCAGTATTTTATGACAAAAGAAATTAAACTTGTTAAATGATCAGCATTCAGTATTCACAATGATCACACAAATTTAGAAGTTCTTAGCTATTATGCTCGAGCAATGGTGTTCAATGGATAAAAAACCTGAGGGATTGGTTGAAAAATTTAGGGTTTCAGCCCATATCAATCAATTTTTACACTTTTCAGTTACCATGACTAAGTGGCTACACTGTTTGACATGTATACACAAAGTATTGCGTAAAAACCTTACTACCACCAGCCATGGAATGATCCTGAACAAGTCACTAAAGGGTATTTATCTCGGATCATCCATTTCATAGCATGCTGACTACATTGTGACATACATCTACTCTTGTGTGTAGTCATATATGATTAGTTAGTACGTATGGCAAGCTCAAGATCTTGAGCGCAAGAACTCTGCGTCTGATCGGTCGTCTGTTTAAAGCTACAGCTACTCATAGTTGTAGAGAAGATATGAGTTATTGAATCTGTCGCTATGCAGCAGTTAATACTACAAGATAGTTCTAAGATAGAGAATTTTTCTTTTTCTTACACATTTCAATCGTATTTTGACAAAAGTATCAGATTGCGTGATCAAATTTTGAGCAAGTCTCATTTGAAGAGTTATCTTTTGTGTGAAAAAATAATCAGGAATTGATGTTTCCCTAATTCCTCTCATTAAAATCTTGATTAATCAAATAAGTTTTATATGTGTTTTCGAATTGTATGAGTTTAATCTTGATATTTCTAGGCTTCGGAATATGATCAATTTCGAGCGCGACATTTTCGTGAAATACTTGAATCAAGTCGTATTGTTTTACTTTGTCAAGAAGTTTGCATTGTTCCATCAAGTAAATAGATTTTTATTAAAAATAAAAGTAAAAAGATTAAATATTGCTTTTTTTTAGTTCGATATACAATTGCAAAAATGCAATTTATGAAAAATGGATTCACATTTACAAAATTTCCACGAATAGTTCCACAGTAATTATTTAAAGAAATAAAAAAAGATAAATACAGAAGATGGACCAACAGTTACTTTACCATATAAAAAAACATTAGAATACCTCTGCCATAGTTTGACCAAATAGGCTGATTTTTGTTTTTTGACGGAGCATAAAGGAGTGTTTATATCCATGGGAGAAGGTTGGAAAGAAATGTTTTTGAAGTATCAGTGTCGGTTTCAACCAAAAAATTATACCCTCTAATATACAGTAGAAAAAAAGCCAAGGTGAGTGTAAGTGAGTATCTTGTCTTTACCCGCACCTACACCCAACCAATAGTAATACTTCAAAACGGTTTTCTGCAACTTTTTCCTCATGAATATGAACTATGAGCACTCACTTTTGGCCTATCCTATGTACATATATATATATAGATTGTTTTTGTTTTAGTTTAGCATTAGCAAATGATATTCAATATGAGAATTTTCTTCCACCAATTTTATCATTTGGTTTTGAAACAATTTATTTATTTCATAAAGAGAATAATTTAGCATTAGCTTTTAAATTACTTAAAAAATACCGAAATAATTTATTATTAATAGGTAAAAACAAAAAAAAAATCTATAATGTTTTTTTTATTTTTATTTATACATAAACTTTTCAAAAATTTCAGGTGGTCTTGTTGATGGACGTTTGTATAATCGAGCTGGTCTTGAAAATTTAGCACAATTACCAAATATTGATTATTTTCAAGGTGAACTTGTTTCAATAACACAGTTACCTAGTAGTCGAACATTATCATTAGCAAATCATCCAGCTCGATTACTTAGTCATTATTTAGATACATATGTTAAATCTCAACAAACGAAAACATAATTTGTTTTTTTTATACGTTTTGTTAAGAGAAAAATAAAAAGAACATTGTTGTTTTTTTTCTTTTAAATATTATCTATTAGAATATTTTCAGATGGCTGGTTCGGCATTACGACGGTTAATTGCTGAATATAAACGTAAGAATAAAAGTTATAAATGACAAAAACACAAACATATTCGATTTGTAACTTACTATAGAATTAACAAATAATCCACCGGATGGAATTTTAGCTGGACCTATTAGTGACGAAAATTTTTTTGAATGGGAAGCACTTATTACGTTAGTATAATACGAAAATATTTGATGGAATAGTATTGTTTTTATTTAATTATTAGAGGACCGAGTGGTACACCATTCGAATTTGGAGTCTTTGTTACTCGTCTTCATTTTCCAAGTGATTATCCATTAAGTCCACCCAAAATGAAATTTGTTAGTGAAATTTTCCATCCAAATGGTATATTAATAGATTATATAAATATTAATGATTTATTTTTATTCTTTATTTTTTATTAGTTTATCCTGATGGAAGAGTATGTATTTCAATTTTACATGCACCTGGTGATGATCCAATGGTAAGATAATCAAAATTTACAATAGAAATATTCTTAAAGAATGTTATCATACTTAAATGTTAAATTCATTGTCGTAGAAAAGATACTTATGTTGATCAATGAGCCTAGAGTGTTTAAAAGCCAAAAAACAAAGAAGTCGAATGTAATCTGCAATATGTTCATCTACTTATTGACATGATATTAAACAAGAATGTTTTGTAGGATATTGTGTGTTCACATTTTTGTAAATTCGAACTTAGATGCGATACAAAGTAAATTTTCTAGACTGACTCTGGTTCGAATTTGTGTTTGACAAAACGCGCAGTTTTCTAATAGTAAATTTTTCTTAACTTTATATGGAAATATGTATTGCGAATTGCATTCTGCTTCTAAACATTTTTGGGCAAATATAAACAACAAAGAATTTCTCTGGTGTTGATTTGTTAAATAATAATTTACAAATTGTATTCTGTTAGCTTTTCGTATGTTATCCTAAATCTCCTGCACACGTTCTATTCGTAAGCGGGAAGATAACTACTGAAAAGTGTCTTGTCTGTATATAGTTCTGAGATATCACACGTAAAAG